GTCTTCCCGAGAAGATTGAGAGGATTAATGATGTTAGAGAACCTCTCAAACATTTCCTCAATCTTCTCGTTTTCCTTCATTGAGAAGAGTTCGTACTCGTGAGTAAGATGGTCGATTTTGGCCTCCCGAACCTGCGCGGTTCCTTCGTAGGTGACCTCCAATTTCTCCCACATTTGTTTTGCGGTTTCACACCGCGAGATTTTGCGGTAGTCATCCGCATTAACACCGCAATAAATCATGTTTATTGCCTTTGCGTTGAGCTCCATCTTTTTGCAATCTTCGTCGTTGAACTCCTCTTCGGTTTTGGGAACGTTGACTTCACCGACTTTCTTCATCGGGACTCCGCATCCGTTCTTCACAATCAACCACAGCTTGTAGTCGTTGGATTGGATAAAGATTCTCATCCTCTCCTTCCAATACGAGTAGTTTGTTCCATCGAACAAAGGTGGCCTCGTGGTAGATTGTCCCTCGGTCACTCCTGCGTTGAACATTCTTGATGCCATTTGATCGTTTAGCTCCTGAAAAATAACGTATTCGAAGAACTTCCTGCTCCGATACCAATTGTTAGACAAATGTGCAACTCTAGAGGGGGGGGTGAATAGAGTTGTTTTCAAGAATGTGCGTTTTTCGCGTGTGTGAAATAAAATATCGCAGGAATAAGTAAAGAGAGTAAGGGAAAGAAGAACACCGGGATTTATACTGGTTCACCACCTCGTGGCTAGTCTAGTCCTCCGAGAGACTCTCTCGAAAGTCCTACTAATCTTCAAGCTTCAACGGGTGCTTGAAAAACCGGTACAACTTGAGAACTTGAATCACACAAGCCTCACTTTCTTACAACAACAAGACTTGAATCACACAAGTCTTATGAACAACACTCAAATGAGATTGAGTTTACAACACAAGAATGAAAGCTCACACAATTGAGCAAAGTAGTGTTTGAAGGATTAAAGCTCTATGGATGACAACTTCTTTAGCACTCAAAGAAAATATTTCTAACTCTCAAAAATAATGTTTTGATGAGGAAGATGAAGCAAGGGATGACAATGGCTCAATGAGAATTTGGAGTGCAAGAGTGAAGTGTGGAGAAGAAGGAGAATGAGGGATTAAATAGGCTGAGTGAAAATAAATCCGTTGGAGCAGGCTGAGAATATGCACCAGATAAAATTAATCGATTAAAGTAAAAGGTTAAATCGATTACGGTACACAGAGGCGAAAAAGCCTGAGAATCAGAGCAAAAGATAATCGATTAAATGAGGTACAAAAATCGATTAGTCGGCTCTATCTGAACTAATCGATTAAACCAAGAAGGTTAATCGATTAATGATCAAAAGAGAGGACTCCAACGAAGAACCTGTTAATCGATTAAAGTGAAGCAACAAATCGATTAGGCGGCTCTGTCCAAACTAATCGATTTTCAGAAAAGAAATAATCGATTAAATATTATGACCTGAGAAATTGCGCTGGATCTAATCGATTATCTTTAGAGGATATAATCGATTAAAAAGAAAATAATGCGCAAACACAAAGGGCCCAAGCCAAGTGCGATTGGAAGCAGTTTGGCTTCTAACTAGTTGTTTCGGACAACAAGAATAACAACGGACGCTCCTTGGATAATATCTCCCTATTCAATGAATTTGAGTAGGGGAGAGAAAAAGAGTCCAAAAATTATTTTGTGTGTCAAACGATGTACACGAAAAAAATTAAGGTAAATTTTTCTTACCAAAAAAAATTTGTATATCCTTAAAATGTTTTTAAGAACTTTTGACACACTATTTTGAAACTGACTTGGTAAAATATATTTTAGACAAAAATAATTTTTCAACTGACTCAAAAAAATAATAATTTTTATCCCTCAAGATTAATTGTTTATGCAGAAGATGTTGTCATCCTTACAAAGATTCCTAGACTCAAATAAGAATAAAAAGTCTTCGGATTCTTCACTTCACTTCAAAAAAATGCGTAGGGGTGAGCGTTGATTTTAATCGTCGTAATCTTCTTGATACACTTCTTTGCTTTTCTCGATACGAAAAATAAATTTCGATCAGCTTAAATTTAATCATCCTGTTTATCATTCATCAAAACAAAAAATATTCCAAAAAATAATAAAGGGGTTTGAACTCATGTCCAACAAAAGTTACTTTGCATCATTCAATTATGTATACATCATGTACGGTAAGATTATATATGATATATTCCATATTTAATATATTCATGCCTTTGAGATTTTTAAAGATTTCATCTTATTATTTCTTTGTCATTTGAAATGTGTATAGGTTGGGGTTCAGGGGGTGGGCAAACTGGTTTTGCTTTGAGCTATTATTTGCAGGGATCACTCATGTGCTTACTTGCGATTTGAAATCTTTACATGGATCTACTATTTGCTTTGGTTCGCAGGAGTAAAGTTATAATCAAGGTGGATTAAGGCTAAGAGAGCTCAATTGAACAATCAAATAAATAAAGAACATCCATGCAGTTCAATACTTTTTTGAGTCTTTAAAAATTGTGTTGTTTTTTTACTTCGCTTCAACTTAAGCCCCTATAGAAGATTTCTCATGGGTTGTAGCAGTTCTTCAGCTGAAATTGAAGATCTTATCTTGCCAATTACTACCTCTGTCCCAGAGTATTTGTCCACTTTCATTTTTACACGTCATCCAATACACTTCTTTAATCCATTTTATCTTGTAATTTGTATATTAAAAAATGAGTAAATTCCATAATTGGTCTTTTATAACAGAGAGGTTTCCCTATTTAGTCCTCTATTATCAAATATTATCCAGTAGTCCTTCATTTATGGGTATCTTTCAACAAATAGTCCTTTTTTTAATCTTCAATCATGTGTGTGTTAATTTGAGGGGTAAAAGTGTAATTTCACAATGATAATATATCTTTTTTGTCATACACAATTTCAAAGGTTGTTCTGTTTGCATCGTTTGTGAATTACAGTCACTTTCTACTACAAACATAGTCTACAAATGTGGTCTTTCGTCTGAATTCTAGTCCACAATCATAGTCATTATTTTTGTGTTATTCGCTTAACCAATATCAGAACACGTCATTAGACATAATGTTGATATCAAATTATGCTTTTAGCCTTTAAATTAACACCAACTTGGCAGAAGATCAAAAAAGGACCATTTGTGGAAAGGCACCCTTTAAAAAAGGACTACGGGGTTAATATTTGATAATAGAGGACTAAATATGGAAACTCGCCTGTTATAATGGACCAATTATGGAATTTAATCTTAACAAAATTATAGAAACTATATATTAATAATCTATATGTTAAGACAAATTAAACAAGATCACACATGACTATATTTAGGCTTACACATTAAGAGAATTTGATGAATCAAAGTGCTTAGGTGAACAGTTCCAAAAGTCAAAACTGGACGAATACTCCGAGACGGAGGGAGTACATTATAGCAGCACTATCGAGAGCCCATTTATAAGTAGTGGTAGTCAAATCTCGGCATTCACCGTGGGGCCTTAATTTGAGTCTTTAATTTTTTTACAATGGACCTTACAGAAGCAAATTCTCAGTAGTAGTAATTTGAATTATTTTTTTAACCCCGTGGTAGTAATTTGAATTATTTTTTTACTCCCTATAAAACCAACCCTTTCATTACCTTTTATGTGTGTTTGGCTTTTAATGTAGGGAATATATGGTGGGTAAGCTATCAAACAACAACACATGTTCCTTAGCCTATTCCTTATGCAAATTCAGCCTTACTAGGGGACAAGTGTTCCCTAATGTTGGTTGGTTTTTAGACATTGAGAATGGCTGGTTTTTGGGCCCTTGTGGTTCGTCCAAGTTTAAAGAAAAGGAGGGAGGTGTATCAAAGTTGGGTAGTAGGGTTTATGGGTGATGAATTCATTCCAAAAAGGATTATGACATTTGGACATTATTCCATTTATTTGTTTGAGTGTTTGCGAATCAACTGTAGCTCTCAGGGTTGTAGCTCTCGTGGATACAATAGATTCTTATGCAAAAGACATAATTAGCATCCCCTAAGTCTTTCATGGAGAAGTTCTCGCTCAACCACGTCTTTATAGAAGTGAGAGCAGGAATATCATTAACCATTAACAATGTGTCATCGACATATTACTCTCCCACTGACCTTCTTGTAAACACAAGATTCATTAGAGTTCTTCTTAAAACCAAAATTGGAAATGGTTTCGTCGAAGTGTATATACCAACTCCGAGATGCTTGTTTCAACAATAATATTAATAGAAATAATAGTAATAATAGTAATAATAATTTTAATACTAATAATAACTATAATAACAATAGTAATAATAGTAATAATAATAGAAATAATAATAGAAATGTTATTAATAATAATAGTAATAATAATATTAATAAAAATGATTATAATAACAATAATAGTGATAAGATTAATATTAATGATAATAATAGTAGTTATAATTATAATAAAAATAGTGATAATAATTATGGTAAAAAAAATACTAGTAATAGTAATCATAATAATAGTAATAGTAATAATAACAATAATATAAATAATAATAATAGAAATAATAATAATAGTAATAAAATTAATAATAGTAATAGTAACAATAACAATAGTTATACTCCGTAATAAATATAATAGTAATACTATTAATAGTAGTAATAATAAAAATAATAACAATCATAATATTATTAAAAACAGTAGTAATAATACTAATATTAATAATAATTACCATCATAATATTAATAGTAATAGTAATTGTAATACTAATAATAATGGTAATAATAGCAATAATTATTAAGACATACATTTAAGATAGACATGTTTTTTGGTACGATACATTTAAGATAGACAGGTTTTTTGGTACAGTTCTTATATTATATTTGGGAGTTAAACTTCCAGAATTTTGACATTTGTCATGCTGACTGGAATGTTTTTTTGACACCTAATCACCCATGTCATCAAACGGACGTATATCATCAGCTGAGGTGTCATTATTTTGGATCTATATGGCCTCCAATGGATGGTTGGATCTGAGCAAATTCAGCCGTTCGATCAGGATACTTATCACCCACACAATTCTAAGCGATCTAGAGATATCATCATCGGTCATATTCAAAATTTTCCGTTTGATCTGGATTCAGGGAAATTTGACGATTTAGAGATGATAGCAAATACGGTAAGTTTCCTTGCGGAGACCAGCGATATTTCTTTGAAATTATTCGATGGAGATGTGTTTTCCTTCGTCGACTTTCTTTCCTTTGCTCGCGAGTTTAATGGAATTCAAGCGTTCGGCATCAAAGGTAAGTTTCCTTTTTTATATATATATATTTGTTGTTACGGTAAGTTCCCTTATTTTTAAACATTGAGATTCTTCGTCTAAATGGTGTGATCCCTCTATGAATTCTTCGTCTGAATGGTCTTATAATTTCTACGTTTGGAATGGTCCTATGATTTCTTCATCTGAATGGGTTTGGAATGACCCTATACAATGGAAATCCTTGCAGCCATACCAAAAATGTTGTATACACGAAGTCTTTCCAAAAATTTGGTATTAAAACAAACTCTATTGTGTGTAGATTCAATTCCTCAAATATTATTCTTTTTACTTTGCCTTTCTTTTTTGTGTTATTATAAATCATGCATGAAGTATATTTTCT